CGGCTCAAAGGTAGGCTGTTGTTGTTGTTGTTGAATTCCGCGTGCGTAGGATGAGCCGTCGAGACTCATAGGAGTTACGTTGTTGTTGTTGCTGTTGTTTGACTGCGCAGGTACTCCTTGCTGGTGCTGCTCGTAGAAGGACATGAAGGAGAAGAATTTCTCCATCATGCTTGGATCGAAGCCTGCGGGCGTTTCCGTAGACCCAGCTGCTGGTCTCGTGGTAGTCCCTTCTTCCGTCTGTAGACCAGAGACAGGAGGTGGAGTAGGGGTAGTGCTTGGAGAACCGTTGGAGGAGGTCCTCTCCTTCCTAGTAGACATGTCTTCCTTGTATTAAGTATTAAGAGAAAAAGTAACTTCGAACTTTGTCTGCTCTCATACCATGTTGGGCTGAGATGCCCTAGGATCTTTGTAGAGTTAAAGTCTAAGTAGGATTGTAATAGCGGAAGCGTTTGAATGAAAAGTCCTTGAACCACCTTGCGCTAGTATGTGAGGGCAAAGTAAGTTGATTAAAACAAGCAAATACAAGGCTTTATATAAGAGTACAAGAAATACGAATAGATATAATTAAACTGTTTTGCTGTTGCGATTCGATACAGTGCGACTCGGGCAACTGCTCAATGTCGAGTCAGTTGTGTGTCCTTGCTGTCGTGCTGTATTTGTCAAGTCAAAGGTCGCTGACTTTTGACCTTCGCATAACCTCCAGGCGGTTACCCTAACCTCCGAAGGTTGACTCGCGATGCTTCGATTTGGACTGCTTCGCTTGTGTCCTGAGTTTCGACACGACAGAGGCGCTTTAAGACTTATTGTTCCCAACAGTTACGACGTTCGCCCGTGGGATCGCGGGTAAAATTTTCGTCGTCGGGACGAATTGGGGCGTTGGCGTTGTCATGTCACCGTTGTCGTCGTTAAGTGCCATTGTAGCCTCGTTGTGAGCGAAAATATCTGAAAGGAGTGTCGACGGAGACTGAAAGCGAGGTAGTGATTTCGACTCCACCAGCTTGGAATTAGGAAGTCGAAACTTGACTAACCGTTTGAAAAATGAGAGACGTGGGTGGAGTGAAATGACCTCCAGCCCACATTTTGTACTCCAAAACGGGCGTTTAGCGCGGTTCGCCTATGACCATTGCTACATTACAAGCCGCTTCGCTTTCAAAATACACAATTTTGAAAAGCGTTACAGCTTTAAAAAATGTTCATGTGTCCTGCGCCTCCGTTATTTGTACAGAACCTATGCAAAGAGAGCGCGTGGATTTAGAGGTGTTAAACACCATTTTTGTTCTTAACCATTAGTGTTACAGCTCTTAGAGTGCAGCAACTCCAGTGGTAACCACATGTGCTGTCGATCCATTAACGAGAAGAAAATCCAGGGTCATGTGCTGATGAGGGAGGCATGCACACAGGGTCACAGGAATCAGGAGCGGCAGGGGTTAGATGGGTTCAAGAGGGGTTCAAGTGTAGTTTGTGAGGAACTAGTGGGGTGAATGTAAGTGGTTGTGTGGAGCGATAGAATATTGATTAGACAACTTGTTGAATAAAAATACTAAAAAAAGGAGCACCAGCTGAGTAGACTTGACGGCACTCTCGTCTTTGTTGTCATGCTGAGTAGACTGGGCAGCACTCTCACCTTTGTCTTCTTGATGAGGACCCCGGGCGGCACACTGACGTTACCACTGGTATCACAGTACCTGTGAAGAAGAGCCATGCATGCATGGCCAGACGGACGGACGGATGGATGGACGGACTGTTGGACGGACGGATGGATGGATGGATGGACGGACGGACGGACGGACGGACGGACGGACGGACGGACGGACGGACGGACGGACGGATGGATGGATGGATGGATGGATGGATGGACGGACGGACGGATGGATGGATGGATGGATGGATGGATGGATGGATGGATGGATGGATGGATGGATGGATGGATGTATGGATGGATGGATGAATGGACGGACGGACGGATGGATGTATGGATGGATGGAGGGAGGAGGGGCTGTAATCAATGAGTGGGTGTGATGTGAAAGTGTGACAGGGAGGTTAATCGAGTTGAAGAATGTGAACACGTGCATCGTTGGTGAACACGAGCATCGGTGGTGAACACGTGCAACCACGTTGCCAACACGCATGAGGGGAAGGAAAGAAACATGGTAGGTAGGTAGGAGGCACAAGCAACATTGAAGCATAACAAAAGTTTCAATGTAACCAGAACATGTGTGAGAGAATGGGCTGAAGAGGCCTGGAATGCAAACGGGGAAAGTCAACAGCTTTTGAGGCGCCTAATAAGGGCAGGTCATTGGAGGTTAGACGATGGGGATCGAGGTGAATGAATGAGCTCGGACTGAAAGAATGGAGTTTGAGAGAATGGGGTCTGAGTCAATTCGACTTGAGCGATATCAATGGGATGATTGATGGGATTTGGAGGCCCACTTCGTGAGTTTGAGTTGCTTCAGAGCCGTCCTAATGTCCTCTGGTTGTATTGCCGTGCGCTTGGATAGACTCTGATGGAAGAAGGTGGGGGGGGGGGGGAAGACAGGTGCAGGGACTTAAGAGCGAGGGAACACACAAGATGGGGGGCTTCAGGGCCCTTGTTCCTTTGAGTCGACTCAAAAGCACAAGATGGGGGGCTTCAGGGCCCTTGTTCCTTTGAGTCGACTCAAAAGCACAAGATGGGGGGCTTCAGGGCCCTTGTTCCTTTGAGTCGACTCAAAAGCACAAGATGGGGGGCTTCAGGGCCCTTGTTCCTTTGAGTCGACTCAAAAGCACAAGATGGGGGGCTTCAGGGCCCTTGTTCCTTTGAGTCGACTCAAAAGCACAAGATGGGGGGCTTCAGGGCCCTTGTTCCTTTGAGTCGACTCAAAAGCACAAGATGGGGGGCTTCAGGGCCCTTGTTCCTTTGAGTCGACTCAAAAGCACAAGATGGGGGGCTTCAGGGCCCTTGTTCCTTTGAGTCGACTCAAAAGCACAAGATGGGGGGCTTCAGGGCCCTTGTTCCTTTGAGTCGACTCAAAAGCACAAGATGGGGGGCTTCAGGGCCCTTGTTCCTTTGAGTCGACTCAAAAGCACAAGATGGGGGGCTTCAGGGCCCTTGTTCCTTTGAGTCGACTCAAAAGCACAAGATGGGGGGCTTCAGGGCCCTTGTTCCTTTGAGTCGACTCAAAAGCACAAGATGGGGGGCTTCAGGGCCCTTGTTCCTTTGAGTCGACTCAAAAGCACAAGATGGGGGGCTTCAGGGCCCTTGTTCCTTTGAGTCGACTCAAAGGCACAAGATGGGGGGCTTCAGGGCCCTTGTTCCTTTGAGTCGACTCAAAAGCACAAGATGGGGGGCTTCAGGGCCCTTGTTCCTTTGAGTCGACTCAAAAGCACAAGATGGGGGGCTTCAGGGCCCTTGTTCCTTTGAGTCGACTCAAAAGCACAAGATGGGGGGCTTCAGGGCCCTTGTTCCTTTGAGTCGACTCAAAGGCACAAGATGGGGGGCTTCAGGGCCCTTGTTCCTTTGAGTCGACTCAAAAGCACAAGATGGGGGGCTTCAGGGCCCTTGTTCCTTTGAGTCGACTCAAAGGCACAAGATGGGGGGCTTCAGGGCCCTTGTTCCTTTGAGTCGACTCAAAAGCACAAGATGGGGGGCTTCAGGGCCCTTGTTCCTTTGAGTCGACTCAAAAGCACAAGATGGGGGGCTTCAGGGCCCTTGTTCCTTTGAGTCGACTCAAAAGCACAAGATGGGGGGCTTCAGGGCCCTTGTTCCTTTGAGTCGACTCAAAAGCACAAGATGGGGGGCTTCAGGGCCCTTGTTCCTTTGAGTCGACTCAAAAGCACAAGATGGGGGGCTTCAGGGCCCTTGTTCCTTTGAGTCGACTCAAAAGCACAAGATGGGGGGCTTCAGGGCCCTTGTTCCTTTGAGTCGACTCAAAAGCACAAGATGGGGGGCTTCAGGGCCCTTGTTCCTTTGAGTCGACTCAAAAGCACAAGATGGGGGGCTTCAGGGCCCTTGTTCCTTTGAGTCGACTCAAAAGCACAAGATGGGGGGCTTCAGGGCCCTTGTTCCTTTGAGTCGACTCAAAAGCACAAGATGGGGGGCTTCAGGGCCCTTGTTCCGATGCCTTCTGGTTGTGTTGCCGTGCGCTTTGATAGACTCTGATGGTGGAAGAAGAGGGGGGAACACAAGTGTGGGGAAAGGGAATAAGGAAGCGGACACGTGAGAGAGAGTGGATGATTTGGGGGAAAGGGGATGAGTAGTTAGAGGGGGGAGGCACTCGTGCGGATAATGCAGGAGGGGGCGGGAAGAGGGTAACTGAAGGGAGCATAGGCCATTGAGTCAATTGAAATGATGAGAACGTGATGGGCACAGGGTACTTGTGATGGGATGGGATGACTTTTGAGTCGACTCAGAAGTCACCTTGAGTCGACTCAAAAGTCACCTTGGGTACTCATGATGGGATGGGATGAGCACTCAGTTGGAGTGTGACTGTGAGACAGCGGGGATGCGGTGTGCAGTGCATTCTTTGGCGTGTCTCAACAGTTGTATCAGACAGCAGGCATGGAGGGATGTGCGCTAATGGGAGTGATGGGAGATGTGTAGGGAATGAGGAGTGAGGGAGGAGGAAGGACGGAGAGGAGAGAGATGGGTGAGGGGAGAGCAGGGGGGAGGGAGAAAGACAATGGGTAAGGTAAGAGGCCATACATCAATGCTGCAGTTTCCTTGAAGCTTCTTCAGAGAGCGCAGCAGCTGCCAGAGCCAGTAGCTTCTGAAGGCCACCTGGAAGGGAGAGGGGGAGTGGGCGGGGGGAGGAGGAAGTGGAGCAGGGGAGGTGGGGAGTGACCTTTGAGGCGACTCAAAATAGAGCAGCAGCTGCCAGGACCAGTAGCTTCTGAAGGCCACCTGAAAGGGAGAGGGGGAGTGGGCGGGTGGGGGAGGTAGAGGGGAGAACAGTGGGAAGGTAGGGGAAGGGGGAGAGAGGTTACTTGAGGCGCTTGCTCACAGCAGCTGCCAGGACCAGTAGCTACTGAAGGCCACCTGGAAGGGAGAGGGGGAGTGGGTGGGTGGGCATGGTACAGGGGAGAACAGTGGGAGGAAGTGGGGGGGTTAGGGGAAGGAGGAGGGGGGATACTTGAGGCACCTGCCAACAACAGCTGCCAGAGCCAGTAGTTCTGAGGGCCACCTGAAGCGGTGTGGGGGAGGTTAGGATTGGGGAAGGTGGAGAGTGGGGGGAGGTTAGGATTGGGGAAGGTGGAGAGTGGGGGAGGTTAGGATTGGGGAAGTGGGAGAGGTAGGGTGGGGAGTGGGGGCGGTTGGGAGAGGGGAAGGTGGGGAGTGGGGTAGGTGGGGACTGGCTGAGGTGAGGAGTGGGGGAGGTGGGGAATGCGGAGGTATGGAGTTGGGGTGTTGGGGAGGAGGGGAGTTGGGGAGGTGGGGAGTGGGGGAGGTGAGAAGTGGGGGACTTTAAACAAGAGTGAAAAGAAACCAATCAATCCACAATCCCACCAACTCAGGAACTCTCGGACTTCCCAACCCACCCCAGCAGCCCCCCATGCACTCACAGTGCCCAGGTCAGAGAGGGGGGGCTTGGGCACCAGAAGCTGCTGACGGGCTGCTGTCATGTCATAGGCTGAAAAGGGTGGGGCATGCATGGATAGTGGAAGGGGAGTTGAGACGTAAACATGCTGGGGACAAGAGTGACTTGCTGAGTCGGCTCAGAAAGTTGCAGCCTTTTGATAGGCTGAAAGGGCACGGCACGAATAGTGGGACGTGTAGAAAAGTTGGACACTGGATGGTATGGTGGCAGCTGCTAACACGAGACACACGGGCTGCAAGAACGTAACCAATAGGCAGGCTTCTCACTATTTGAGAGGAGATATTGGCTATATAGCGCTAGATACTTTCCATCATACATGGTTAAAAGAAAAGAAAAGAAAAGAAAAGAAAGGAAAAGAGATAAGAGAAAAGAAACAAAATGACTCATTTCTGGGGGACTGGTAGGGCAGGTTCCTCACCGACTGAGAGGAGCCATCGGCCAAACCCCCGTCGCTGGAAGGGAGGCAGCACAACGACACTGGAGAGGTGCACCTCCGCGGGTGGTGTTGGCGATGGTGGCAATGGCGATGGCGAGCTGTGAAGTGCCTCATGTGGCAATGGCTGTGCTGCCGCCAACCCTCCTCCTGTGTCCCCTGCTGTGTTGGCTGCTGCTGTGCACGTCTCATCCCGCCTGTGTGAATCACTTGGCCCTTGAGGAGCCTTAGGCGTCGCTTTTTCCTCTGCTTCACGCCTGTGTGGTTCGGCCGGCTTCTGCATTACCTCAAGAGTCGCCTCAACTTCCATCCTGTGTGAACTACCCAGCTTTTGAGCCGCATTAGGTGCCGCCTCTGCCTTTGCTTCGAGCCTGTGTGGATCGACCGTCTCAGTGCCAGCTGCTAGAGAGTCATGCTTGGGTGGTGGGCTGGCAGGAGGGGAAGACTCCTGCAATCAGGGGACGGGGCAGGAGAAGGAGAAGGGGAAGGGGAAGGGGAAGGGGAGCGGGAATGGGAACGGGAACGGGAACGGGACGGGGAAGGGGAAAGGGGAGGGGAAGGTGAAGGTGAAGGGGAAGAGTAAGGGGAAGGTGAATGGGAAGAGGAAGGGGAAGAAGAGACACTGGATAACTATCAGATATGATGGAATGATGAGAGTGCTCGACATTGGTTCAGATAGAGTTGAAGGCAATAGAGTGCTCATTGTCAGCATTGGTATTCTTATCGATGAAAGCAGAAGCGCTATGATCCTTACAATGGCAAAGTAGCCAATGAGAGTGTGCCAAGTGTCAGAACCCCTTGTGAGAACGTAGAAGGTGTGACCCTCAACGGTGTACACCCGCGGCTTGTGCTCCAGAAAGAGCTTGCCCAGGAGGGACAGGCACTGAGGGGGATAAGGAGAAGGAAGAGAGGAGGATAAGTATGAAAGGGGATGCTGTAATGGTTAACCATGTACCATGTGCCACTCTACCATGTGCCCCTCTACCATGTACCATGTGCCACTCTACCATGTGCCCCTCTACCATGTACCATGTGCCACTCTACCATGTGCCCCTCTACCATGTACCATGTGCCACTCTACCATGTACACCCGTGGCTTGTGCTCCAGAAAGAGCTTGCCCAGTAGGGAGAGGCACTGCAGACAAGGGGTAAGAAGGTGTGGTGAAGGGTCCCTTTAATCATTCCCCTTCCCATAATCCCCCATATACCCTCCCACTCCCACATCTACCCCCCCATATTTCCCTTTCCCCATATTCACCTGCCAGTACAGCTTTGGATGGGTTGGATCAACCCTGAACACATGCAGCCTGTGCCCCCTCCCTCTCCACCACCATCTCTTCCCCTTGTGAACTTCCCTGTCCACTGCACCGCACCCACACTTCACTCACCTGGCAGTACAGCTTTGCATGAGCTGGATCCACCCTGAACACATGCAGCATGCCGCTGCCACCACTGCCACCACCACATGCAGCAGATTTCCCCTCCCCACTTCACCTGTCTTGGTTCACCTGGCAGTACAGCTTTGCATGAGCTGGATCCACCCTGAACACATGCAGCATGCCGCTGCCACCTCCACCGCCACCATCACCACCACTACCACTGCCACCGGTTTCCTTTCCTCCTCCTTCCTCTGCCTTGCTAACCCCTCCTTCCTCCCTTCCTCCATCACCCCGCCTCTCTGCATCCTTCCGTCCTCCAACTGACCCCCCCCTCTCTTGCCCCTGCGCCTCACCCTTGACCTCACTTCCCTCCCCACCTTCTCCCACCCCACCTTCTCCCACCCCACCTTCTCCCACCCCTCCTTCTCCCACCCCGCCTTCTCCCTTCCTACTTCCTTCCTTCCCACTTCCATCCCTCCCAGCCTCTCCCTTCACACCCTCTCCCTTCCCTCCCTCTCCCTCCTGTTTCCGCGCACTGCCCTTCCTGTCCACGTCAGCATCCCTGGCAGACACACTGTTGCCCATGCCAGCCACGTCAGCAGGGCCCCTTTCCAGGTCAGCATCCTTGGCATCCGAACCAGTAGCAGCAGGGGCAGCAGCAGCATCAGAACCAGAAGTTCCATCGTCCCCTCCTCCCACTCCCACGCCCCCCCCTGGTACTCTAAATTGCAGCCCCGCAAACGCTTCTGCTGCAGCAGCTGTTTCCGTCCCTGTAGCTGCCGTCCCTGTCTCACTCCCCTCCCTTCTCCCTCCTCCCCCTCCTCTTCCCCCTCCTCCCATCCCTACACCTACGACTGCTGCATGTCCTGCTGCTGCCGCAGCTGCGACAGCAGCAGCAGCTGCCGAAGCAGCCAAATTGCCATCCACCCGAGCACTACCAGCAGCAACACCCTCCCCAGCAGCAACCACCACACCTCCACATGCCTCTGAACCTTCCCCACGCCCATCTCCACCGCTCCCGCCTTCCCGTTCGGCCATCGGTTTGCACTCTTGTATGCCTTCGCCCCTCTCACATGCGCCTGCTGCATGGAAAGGCATGACAGGAAGCATGTATTGTTCAGGCGCCTCAAAAACAGACCCATCACACTACGCTTCTGCTTCAGGGGCAAGTGTGGCAGCAGGGGCAGGCACAGCAGGCAGCAAGAGAAAGCGTGACTGCAGGAGGGTTACATGGAGGACGAATGGGGTTACCAGCAGCAGGCTCACAGGCAGGAGGAAGTGCAGCGGTGGGGCCAGTAGGGGCGGGAGGGACGAGCCTGGCACGGTAAACCTCCTCTCCTGGCGGGATGACCTGCTGATGACACTTGGCCTGCTTGGTTCATTCGATTGGGATTTAAGAGACAGGACAGGGAATGCACTCAAAGGGAGCCTGGAATTCTGGGTATGAGGTTTTGGTTTAATCTTCAGCAGAGATTGCAGTCCGGGGTTTCGGGGTTTCGGGGTTTCGGGGTTTCCACTCACCATGTGTCGCTCGTAGGCGGTGGGAGTGCTGGAGTACTTGAGACAAGCGTCACATATGAAGAGACGACCCGTGCTGGTGAGAATGGGGCTTCGGTCTTAGGAATAAGTGTGAAGGGTTTAAGGGTCACGGCGAATTAATATTTGGGGTCTTAGATTTCCACTCACCAGGTGTAGCTTGTATGTTGTGGGAGTGGTGGAGTACTTGAGGCAGGCGTCACAGATGAATGAAGAGACGTGCAGGTGGTACGGCTAGGGTTTCAGGTCTTGGGTTTCAACTCACCAGGTGTCGCTCGTAGGCGGTGGGAGTGGTGGAGTCCTTGAGGCAGGCGTCACAGATGAAGAGAGGACCCGTGTTGGTGAGGATTGGGTTTTGCGTTGAGGAATCAGGGTGAAGGGTTCAAGGCTCAAGGTCTCAAAGTTTGAGGTTCTAGGTTTTGACTCACCAGATGTCGCTCGTAGGCGGTGGGAGTGGTGGAGTACTTGAGGCAGGCGTCACAGATGAAGAGAGGACCCGTGTTGGTTAGGTGCGGTGGATATGGGGAAAAGTACCTGCCAAAAGTTGCAACAATCGATGCAACAATTGCTGAAACAATTGATGTAACAGCTGACAGCTTCATATCAAAACAGCAACATTATGGAGCTTGCTGAGAGACCAGACAGACGGTGTCACTCTCGAGTGCCCACCTTCCCACCTTCTCGCTCCTTCTGCACTCACCACGTGTCACTCTCATGGTCACCATCCTCAACCTCCCCACATTCCTCACATGCATATGCCTATCAATGGAGCTGCACCCTCACCCCAACCAACCTCTCCCCCTGCCCACCTCCCCGCCGCCTCACCCCTATCTATCCCACACTCACCACGAGACAATCTCATGGTCACCGCATCTGCCGCTCCAATGCAGCTGCATCCTTACCTGCCTCCCAGCCAGCCACCCCTGCCTGCAGACCTCCCCGCCCTCACACCCCAACCTATCCCAAACTCACCACGAGTCAATCTCATGGCCATCAATTTCCACCGTCTCAACATTCCTCACTCGCATCGCATCTGCCATTCCAACACAGCTGCATCCTCAACCACACTCTACCCCTCTCACCCCTATTCCACCGCACTCACCAAGTGTCAATCTCATGGTCTCCAATCTCCACCGTCTAAACATTGTCACTCGCATCTGCCATTTCAGTGGAGCTGCACTTTTACCAGCCCCCCAACCAGCCCCCCAACCAGCCCCCAAACCAGCCCCCCAACCAGCCCCCCAACCAGCCCCCCAACCAGCCCCCCAACCAGCCCCCCAACCAGCCCCCCAACCAGACCCCCAACCAGACCCCCAACCAGACCCCCAACCAGACCCCCAACCAGACCCCCAACCAGACCCCCAACCAGACCCCCAACCAGACCCCCAACCAGCCCCCCAACCAGACCCCCAACCAAACCCCCAACCAGACCCCCAACCAGACCCCCAACCAGACCCCCAACCAGACCCCCAACTAGACCCCCAACCTATGATGCGAAAGACGCAGGACGCTTCACCAGGACCAGAAAGACGCACCAAAAGACACAGTCCCGGGCAGGCAAAAAAACTTGTTATAGGGCATGGGATGAGGGGGGGGGGGGGGGGGGGAACGTTCCACACTTTCAAGGCAAACTTGGCCCCAACATCAAATTTTCCCCCAAATCTCAAGATTAAGGTGAGTCACGTATTGTCACACACACACATGTCCCAAGGTCACATACATACATAGTTTATCGTATCACTGAAGAACACGCATACTATTAAACTACCACCACAGCACTGCATGCAAGCAACCAGTCACTCATCCCCGTCCTCCTCTCTATCCTTCTTCTCATCCTGGTCCTTGTACTCATCGACCATCATGTCGTCCTCGTCCACCTCCCTCTCCCCATCCTCCTCCAACCTGTACCCCTCGGGGAGGGGAGGGGTGGGAATGTTCCCCTCCACTACCCCCCCCTTCCTCACTTCCCCACTTGGCCCTGCAACAACTGCACCCTCGTGGTGGCCGAGCACAGCCTTCCAGTTGTGCGCCACGAACACCAGGTCGCGCACCTTCTCCGACCCCAACCTGTTCCTGCGCGCCGTGTGCACCCCATCCCACGTAGCCCATCCCCGCTCGCACCGAGAAGCGGAAACGGCATGTGACACCGCACGGATTGCAAGGCCTGTCAGATCGGCATACTCCCAACCGTTCATCTTCCACCACGTCGCCATGTCCCCCTTCCCTGCCTTCAGCTGCGCACGCCCCTCTATCGCCTCCTCCGTCCCAAAGCACCCCCTGCCCTCAATGTACGCCAGCATCCCCTCCTGCAGCGCCATCATCGTTCCAGTCCTCTCGCCATCCTTCTTCCAGTACTTGTCGACGAAGGCCCTCGAGCGCGACAGCCAGGCCTTCATCACCCTGGTGCACTCAATGTCCTTGAGATAGATCCCCTCCTCCTGGTTGACCGGGTTCAGAATCCGGCCTACCACGTGAAGAGGACAGGCCAAACTCTCGTCCCAACGCCGCCTCAAGTGCTCCAGCAACCCCTCCTTATCCGCATCGCTGAGCGGACAATCCGCACTCTCCAACAGCGCCGACAAGTCCTCCGTCAGCTGCAGCATCATGTCGTACATCGCCCCCATCATCCCCTTCGCCGGCCCATCCGTCTTCCTCATCACCTTGTACGGCAGCGCCATTACGTTCACGAAGGTATCCACCTTTGCCCACCACTCCACATCCAACACCGACGCCTCAAAGTCTTTCCCAGTCAGCTGCTTCCTCCCCTTCTCCTCCCAATCCTTGTGCGTCACCATCGCCGTCAGCTGAGGGCGAATCTCACGCAGACGAGACACCGCTATGTACTGCGTCCCAAAGCGCGTGCCCGCCGGTCGCAGCGGCTGAAGCGACTTCTCCTCCCCGTGCAGCTCGGGACAGCGCAGGAAGACACGCGTCCACGTGTGGCTGCGAATGAACGAAATCATGTCGGTCGCCACAGGCACGACCTCCTGCGCCCAAGCCATGCTGTCGAAGTCCTCCAACAACAAGTCGAGCACATGAGTGGCGCAGGGGACGAAGTCAATGTGCGGGTACTTCTTCTGCACCAGCTTGGCGGCGGACACGTAGTTGCTGCCGCCGTCCGTGCAAATCGCGACGACGTGCTCCGGTCCAACCTTCTCGATGACCGGCTGCAGGACGCTCATGATAAACGCTCCGCTTTTGGTCTCCGCCTTGCAGTCGACCGCCTCCTGGAAAACCGCTCCACTGGCGTTGATGCAGAGGATGTTCATCTGCGCACGCCCGCTCTTGTCCCTCATCATATCGCTTGCGATCGTCATGCCAGTCTTCTTCCACGTCTTCGTAATGGGCGTCAACGCCTTCTCAATCTGCTGCTTGCACGCCAGAAGCCCGGCGCCTCCAACGTAACCACGCTTGGGGGGGACATAGCTGGTTCCGGCGGCGTTCACGGCGTGCAGCATGTTCAGGAAGAGGGGGTGCTGTCATATAGTCTCCCCCAAGCGCGTCCCCGTGATGAAGAGGCAAATCGCATCGTCGGCAGCACGCTTCGCCGCCTTCCCCCCCTCGCCATACCAATCCTCCATCCGCCCCTTCTTTGCCTTCGGTTCCGCTCCGCCATGGCCGCTCACCGCAGTAAGCGCCGCCTCGAAAGCCCTCTCTTTATCCTTGCGCGCCGTAATCTTTGTCTCCTTCCCGCCGCGAATGGCGTCTGAAATGCTCTTAGGAACCTTCGCGCAAACAACACCGCCATCGCGCCGCACGTTCGCGTCGTTCCATTCGGCGAGATGCTGAGTGCACCGGCTACTACTGAAGGCGAACGATTTCTCGCACCAAAGGCACTCACACTGCAATCCCTTTTTCGTCGGATCCTCGAATGTCCAAAAATGCCTATAAATATGGTGTTTGGGCTTTTGCGGTTTCTTCTCCACCCCATCACTAGTGAAACGCTGCGGGGGAGACTCATCCTCGGCATAAACATCCCTATATGCGTTAGATGACGTAGGGTTGCTTGAGGAAGCCATAATGGAGCTAAGCTATGCTTGTAGGCTAAAACCTCAAGGGTTTTCGAAAGAGAATTGGTTGGGTGGGTGAAATGAGAAATGACTTGGTTGGATTGCTAAATGGGCTTGGTGGTAGGCACCTTGGTTGGGTTTTCTAGATGTGAAGTGGTTGAGAGGTATTTGGAATTCAATTGTTGAAGGGGGGGTTATGAAATTGAAATGTTGGGGGGGGGGCTGTTTTTCAATGTCGAATTGGGCAATGTGGGGTCAAAATTTCGCGATTTCGACACCCGCGTCGAAATCGCGAGATTGAAATTCGTAATCTGGAAAAAAAAAAAAAAATCGGGGCAGCCCGAAAAAATTTCGATGTGCGTCCTGCGTCTGGACGCGCGTCTTGCGTCCTAGCGTCCAGACGCTGCGTCCAGACGCAGGACGCAGCGTCCTCTGAGCGTCTTTCGCATCATAGCCCCCAACCAGCCCCCCAACCAGCCCCCCAACCAGCCC